GTCTCCAAACATGGCTTTTGGACAATCGCCCGTAATAATCCATCCAACCTACCTTTCTCCTCTGGTCTTTTGACCCAATTTGTATAACGATACGACAAGTCGGCACCACGAGGTGGTCCAACAAAGAACTTCATCGCAGAGTTATCGAATAGCTGCTTTCTTTCCGGTGTATAAGAGAAAGAAATGAGCTGAACAGGCTTTTGGAAGTTTGAGAGCATCACAGGTTGGGACTTTGGTGGCAGTTTCAGCGATTTCAATGCAACAGGAGCAGACATTGACTCCTGCCGAGCCTTGGGGGCAGCACGAGTTGTAGATTCCACATTTGTTTCCTCTACTCCTTCAACTTCCGATATAGGCCTCTTTGGGGGCATTTATTGTGCAAGAGATAAAATGGGCAGGAAGCCAGGCTGTTGAATAAAGAAAATAGACAAACAAGTCAATACATAGAGCCACTTTACAGATGCAAAATTGTTTAGTAATCTACAAATAACGAACAGGGTCAATGCCAAGACTTCGTCGGGCCTGTACAATTGCCGACATTTCCTTCATGAACTCTTCAAGAATGACCACATTATCCAGTAATTGTGAGAGCGTGATCTTAGTGACGACCGTATCTCTCGTTTTGGCATTCCAGTCCGGGGAAAATACGTCCTCTTCTTCTTCCTCTTCTCTTTCTTCCATACTCTCCTCGGGAGATGGCCTAGGTGGAGTCCATGTTCCACCACTTACGTGAGGCGCTACGAGCGGGGCGACAGAAATTCCACCAGTCTTCTCGTAATGGGCGTTAAAGGGGCTCACATGTGAGGGGGTCCTCCTATGGCTCTTCGGAGTGCTTGTCTCTTGAGACCGTAGTGGTGGTGGTGACATTACCGGATTAGCTTTGGTCTTCTTTGGAGTGAAGAAAGAGGGGACAAATGACCCTATAGATCTTGACTTAGACTGAGGTGGTGTCGATGTACCGTCTGCTGGTGTTTTCTTGGATGGCGTTGATAAAGTATTGCGAATTGCGGAAAAAAATGACGTATCCGATTCAAGTTCAATGGATAGATTGAGGGCATCGGTGAGGTTCTCTGTGAACATTAACCCCTGGCGCCTTTCTGAGAGATATTGTTCAAACCCATCGACTGTTTGCCGGTATCGGTCGAGCTGCGATACAAGCCCTCGAAGGATGTCATGTAAGATGGGTCTGGAGCTAACATCGTCGATTCCTGTTGCTGGTAATCGTTGAGCGCCAGACGACCGCTGATCAATTTCAAAATCAATCGAACGGTCATCACTGTCTTTGTCTTCTGGGCGAGTCGAAGGAGCATATGGATCCTCGAGGTCCGTGACCGTTGGTGGGGCGAATGTCATCCATCCTACCAATGAGCGA